TACTCATCAAAATTTTCATATTAATCACACCTGTTTGATCTCATTCATTAGCCTTGATGATCATATAAAATTTTTTGATTCTTTATCTTCATTTATTTATCCAAGATTATCATATGAGTTAAAAGATCATTAGGATTAAATATAAAAAGTCTAAACTGTAATTAAAGAGAAGATTTATGTTACCTTTTTGTGTTATTTTCTCACTCTACTTGAAGTTTATTTTTTATTATCCATTGTTGTTTCTGTAAAATAATCTGAATTTCTTATATCTGAATTGTGATTATTGTAATCCAACATTAAATTTTTTCTATTTACATTTGATAATCTTGGTATTTACGATTTTCTTAAGAAATAAATCTGTGATACTTTGAAAATTTTTTTCTTTCTTGCTAGGATTCGATTATTATTATAGTACCTAGATTGAATAGGAATCAATCAAAAGATATTATTTTGTTACCAAATTTGAAATTCTTAACACTATTGTTTTGTGTGTCTTAAATTTGCACCATTATTAATAACAAATATAAATCAATTAAATGAATTACAACAAAATGATACATCAATTCCATATAAATTTATGAGCCACTTAAATAATTATATTTCTGTTGCACCTGCTATAGCAAATTGAGATTATTAAACTCTTAACATATTCATAATGCAATAATTTTTAACCATTTAATAGATAAAATGGAATTGGAGTTTGGATGATGCTAAGTATTAGAAAAGAAATAAAGACAATTTAATTAAATTAATTAGCATAGATTGCTTTATTTAAGTATATGCATGAGTGAGTAGATAATCTAATTTAGCTATTGAAATCAATTAATCTTCATATATATATAGGTGAAAAATTTCATGGAAGGCGACTTTAGATATAAAATAATTTTAAGAAAAACAACAATTATTTGCTTGCTTAGATTTATCTAGAGCAAGAATTCTTAATAATGATATTGAATCTATAAGACCATTTAAAGTTATGCATCTTACTCATTCGTCTTTTTTTCATTTTTAATTTATTAAGGAAGATTAATAAAGCATACTAAAATGGCAGTAACATAAATAATTATATCAAATTCAATTCTGTTCTCGCAATATTCTTGGTTAAAATAATAATATTTTATTATTAATAATAAATTGAGCTCCTTTAAAAAGTTATTTAATTCTTATATGATCTATCTATCTTGAGATAATTGATCATAAAAAAATAAATGAAGATACTATCACTTTAAGTATTCATTTTTTTTTAAAACTATCTAATTTAAATTATTGTAAAACTTAAATTCTCTTAAATAATATACATAATAATTTTTTCATTTTTCTTAATATTTTCTTATCTAAATTTCTTTGGATATATCATCCCATGTAATTAAATATTCTCCATTATCACTCATTATTCCAAATAAAGAACTTGTTCCAAAATCAATAGATTATTAAGTGATAAAATCTCCATTTTCCTTCCTCTTAATCAAATTAATATTTTATCCATTCTTATTCACAAGCAGACATTTCTGCTTTATATATTATTACGGAAATAGACAAGCACCATCAGATCCACATTTAACTATCAAATCCTTTGTCTTTGAATACTATTTGTTAGTATTATTCAATTCATAAATATGCATCTACTCTTTAGAATAAGGTTAAAATGTAAATATATTATCATTTATAAAACATAT